CTTCCAAACATAAAAGCCACTTGTAATGCTACTTACATTTCTTTGAGATACTTTTGTCCATACACGATCTTATTTGCTAGTTCTAGTACTTTTTCTTGTGTCAAGTTATTTGTTACAGATTGCTGGAAGATGTCATGAAGAATTGTACCCACGAGCATTTGGCGCGAGCCAGACTCCGAGCCCTGCAACAGATGTTACAATACATCAAGATTGATGCCACTTCATACCAGCTTCCCTATAAAATGTCTGGGTTTCTTTGCTGCAGATCATGGACTGCACTTATTTAATTGCAAGACCATGACAGCTTTCACCTCACTAATCACCGTCCAGTCAAACCCAAGTGTGAAAGCAGCCAAACTGAAATGAGTCTCTCCTATTGCTTTAGCTCTCATGTTTATCCCAGCCCTGGTAACGTTAGGATATAATCCCTGTGTGATTGATAGGTGAGAAACAAAGGCACAGATTAAAATGAATTTTGAGAAAGTTTTGCCCGTGGGCAAAACAGTAGTATTTCCTAATGCCAATACTTACCTTTACAATCTTACACATATTTTTTGCACAAAGCAGTTTCCTGTGTGTTACCAACTCACAGGAGAATCATTCCAAGTATCTCCAAAATGGCTCAGAAACCCATCAGCAGGGCTGGGCTCTGTAGAGTCACAAGAACTGAAAGTGGTAGCAAAACGACCTCTGTGTGAGTCACCACCAAACAACTGGAAGTTTAATCACTGTGATATTACAGGATCTCTTACAGACCAGTCACTTGTGGATTGCACTCACAATGTGGATGGTGTTACCCCAGTGTCAGGGGTTGTCAGTGCATTGTCCCACACAATTATTCTATTCCCATCAATAAGGGGCTGACACCACTTCCTAGTCTTAATTTCCTGTACTTAATTTTCTTGTTTCAGTCACAGACTCCCAGCCAGGCTGGGAGTTTACCACTCCATTACAATTCCCTTACTCATCTGGATTTATATTCCTATCCTGTCTGGAAGTTTTCATCAGCTGAGACTGGCAGCTGTTGCTTCTCTGCCATCCACATATCAGCAAGGATACTACCACAAGAAACCTCTTTCAATGGTCCAGCAGCTGGATTCAGACTCTTATTTTTCAGAGGCTCTTGGCCAAGAGTGGTAATGTTTTATATGAATGAGGGGCACATCCCTCACAAAGGATTTATACCCACACAAAATGTGGCAAGAGATTATCAAAGAAGTTATCAGAATTTTAAGTGGAAAGACCACTTCTTTAGCCCAGTAACTGTGTTAAAAATACTGGATTATTTCAGCTGCAATTCTCAAAAAACACCAAGAATTTCCACCAGAGACAGTTTCCATCCCAAATTATTCTGTGTTGGACATTTTGCAGTACAGCATCACAGCCAGAATGAACACTGAGTGAACCCACCAGGTTCAACGGAGCAGTAACTCATCAGAGGCAGTCTGGAACTCACTCTTACCCTGAAGCGCTCGCTCAGCACCGCCCTTCTCACACAGCGGATGCTGTTTGACACCGTCGTGCCAGAGAGCAGCAGGTCTGGGTACAGAACCAGGTACCCACGCTGCTCACTGATGACCCACGTGCCGGAGCTACACTCCCCTTCCAAATGAACGACGTCCCCCGGGACAACGGGCACAGACTCCCTGCGATGGGATACATTGGAACAGTCAGCGGCAGCACGGACACAACGTATCAGTGATTACACATTAACCTGGCAGACGCAGTTCTTTGGAACAGGAGCTTATTGGGACTCTATTTTTAGGAAGTTGACTTAAATAAATCCTGAAAGTGAATAAAGGCATTTTTACTGACAAAACTCATTATTTTGAGTACTAGATCATGCATCAGGACAGCCTGTAAGTAGGCAAATCCTGTTGACTTCAAGTCATTCCAGACTGATGTGTTGAACTATTTCAGCATTGTTATGTTTTACTGCTTTTGCATTACATGAGTTCTACCTTCCTACTTAACAATCCTATTTGTTTCAGAAACTCAGCAAAATCTAAAAATATTTAGAATGATTTGGAAATTTCAGGGTTCAAGATCTTAGATATTTTTTCCTTCAAGAAATAATGTCTTATACTTTTCTCCCACCTTTCAGTGTTGGACAGAAAATGAAAAGCAGTGCCAAATAGCACATGCACCCCCATGTGTTTCAAAATACTATGCAGTCTTTTCTCCTGTAACACACCATGCAACACAATTAGTTCTAAATTAGAATCTTATCCTTACATGAAAACAACTTTTGCACTGGGGCTCAAGCTAAGGTGATTTTAACAGGCTGCAAAAAGCCCTCATGTTTTACAGATGTGGTTTTGTACATCTATATGTACAAATATACTTGTATATTTGTACATATAAATATACACTTCTAATTAGTGCAAAACAGTCAAACAAAATAGCCTGCCTAGAGTTTAATGCGTTGCTGTTTGTCAGTACAAAGGCAAATTAAAACTGTAAGGTAGCAATACCCACTGAACACAAGTTACCTGACATCAGTTCTCTCGAGATGAATATCCATTACACTGACATACTGATAATGTTACATTAAATAAAGGTTGCTTCAGGATTTTGTATCATTTCTAAGGCAGTAAGACTGCTCTCAAAGGCAACACAAAGAAAATTTACTTAATAATCCAGTACTTCATTCTCTTTTCAGACATCTACATAATGAATTACCAGCCATTCCTAAGAATGCACAGCTCTGTATCTTCTAGTGAGTGAGATGCTGTAATTCTCAAGTGTTTCTCAGGGTCACTTCCATTTCTCTGTATCAGGCTGACTTCCAGCACACGGTATCTGTTGTTCAGCCCCTTCCTCAGTATCGTGTCAGGGCAGTCAGCCACTTTCTTCTGAAAACTGAAGAACAGCTCATTAACAGACAGAACACTACCTGAAAACAGCCAGCCTATATACAAAGCAAGGAAAAGCTTCAAATATAAACCCAACTTTAATCCCCTTCAATTTTTATACATATTTAGTGCGGTTTTGCAGTTCTACACAGGTAAAGCACAGGAAAGCTCTCTGGTGATGTTTTCATGTTCTTTTGGGATGACAGGGATGAAAAACAAGCATTTGGACATAGGAGACGTAAGGAAGGAGACAATAAATACTAAGTGGCTATTTATTGCAAGTGCTTCATTTTGGTGTCCACATATCCATATTTACTTGAAAGTTAATTATAACTGCACTGCAAACCCTGTGCTTGTGAGAAAGCTTCTATCTCCCTGCACATACGAACTCCCGGTCACCCAAGTACCTCAAACACGGAGTAGTAATCTTTTTTACCCATTAACTTGAAGTTGATTAGAAAACTGATATTCAAGGCTCAGTTTTCCAATAGCCAAAGCCTGAGACAGAGCAGCAGGGCCGCTCTCCTGGCACGGAGCTGTGCCCGCCGGAGC